ATCTCAATAGATGCAGAAAAAGCTTTCACAAAAATTCAACACACATTTATGATAAAGACTCTCCAGAAAGTAGGCATAGAGGGAACCTACCTGTTGGCTGTGACAAACCCACAGCCAACATCGTTCTCAGTGGTGAAAAATTGAAACCATTTCCTCTAAGATCAAGAACAACACAAGGTTGCCCATTCTCACCACTATTATTCAACATAGTTTTGGAAGTTTTAGCCACAGAAATCAGAGAAGAAAAAGAAATAAAAGGAATCCAAATCGGAAAAGAAGAAGCAAAGCTGTCACTACTTGCAGATGACATGATACTATATATAGAGAATCCTAAAGATGCTACCAGAAAACTACCAGAGCTAATCAATGAATCTGGTAAAGTTGCAGGATATAAAATTAATGCACAGAAATGTCTTGCATTCCTATATACTAACAATGAAAAATATGAAAGAGAAATTAAGGAAACACTCCCACTTACCACTGCAACAAACAGAATAAAATACCTAGGAATAAACCTACCTAAGGAGACAAAAGACCTGTATGCACAAAACTATAGGACACTGATGAAAGAAATCAAAGACGATACAAACAGATGGAGAGATATACCATGTTCTTGGACTGGAAGAATCAATGTTGTGAAAATGACTATACTACCCAAAGCAATCTACAGATTCAATGCAATCCCTATCAAACTACCAATGGCATTTTTCACAGAACTAGAGCAAAAAAGTTCACAATTTGTATGGAAACATAAAAGACCCCGAATAGCCAAAGCAATCTTGAGAAAGAAAAACGGAGCTGGAGAAATCAGGCTCCCGGACTTCAGACTACACTACAAAGCTACAGTAATCAAGACAGTATGGTACTGGCACAAAAACAGAAATATAGATCAATGGAACAGGATAGAAAGGACAGAGACAAACCCACGTACATATGGTCACCTTATCTTTGATAAAGGAGGCAAGAATATATAATAGAGAAAAGACAGCCTCTTCAATAAGTGGTGCTGGGAAAACTGGACAGCTACATGTAAAAGAATGAAATTAGAACACTCCCTAACACCATATACAAAAAAAAACTCAAAGTGGATTAAAGGCCTAAATGTAAGGCCAGACTCTATAAGACTCTTAGAGGAAAACATAGGCAGAACCCTCTATGACGTAAATCACAGCAAGATCCTTTCTGACCCACCTCCTAGAGGAATGGAAATAAAAACAAAAATAAACAAATGGGATCTAATGAAACTTAAAAGCTTTTTCACAGCAAAGGAAACCATAAACAAGGGGAAAAGACAACCCTCAGAATGGGAGAAAATATTTGCAAATGAAGCAACCAACAAAGGATTAATCTCCAAAATATACAAGCAGCTCATGCAGCTCAATCTCAAAAAAACAAACAACCCAATCCAAAAGTGGGCAGAAGACTTAAATAGACATTTCTCCAAAGAAGACATACAGATTGCCAACAAACACATGAAAGAATGCTCAACATCATTAATCATTAGAGAAATGCAACTCAAAACTACAATGAGGTATCACCTCACACGGGTCAGAATGGCCATCATCAAAAAATCTACAAACAATAAATGCTGGAGAGGGTGTGGAGAAAAGGGAACACTCTTGCACTGTTGGTGGGAATGTAAATTGATACAGCCACTATGGAGAACAGTATGCAAGTTCCTTACAAAACTAAAAATAGAACTACCATACGACCCAGCAATCCCACTACTAGGCATATACCCTGAGTAAACCATAGTTCAAAAAGAGTCATGTACTACCATGTTCATTGTAGCTCTATTTACAATAGCCAGGACATGGAAGCAACCTAAGTGTCCATCGACAGATGAATGGATAAAGAAGATGTGGCACATATATACAATGGAATATTAGCCATAAAAAGAAACGATATTGAGTTATTTGTAGTTAGGCGGATGGACCTAGAGTCTGTCATACAGAGTGAAGTAAGTCAGAGAAAAACAAATACCATATGCTAACACATATATATGGTATCTAAAAAGAAAAGAAAAAGGTACTGAAGAACCTAGGGGCAGAACAGGAATAAAGACGCAGACGTAGAGAAGGGGACTGAGGACACACGGAGTGGGAAGGGTAAGCTGGGATGAAGTGAGAGCGTGGCACGGACATATAAACACTACCAAATGTAAAACAGATAGCTAGTGGGGAGCAGCTGCATAGCACAGGGAGATCAGCTCAGTGCTTTGTGACCACATAGAGGTGTGGGATAGGGAGGGTGGGAGGGAGACGCAAGAGGGAGGGGATATGGGGATATATGTATATGTACAGCTGATTCACTTTGCTATAAAGCAGAAACTAACACACCACTGTAAAGCAATTATATTCCGATAAAGATGTTTAAAAAAAAAAAGAGTCATGGACCACAATGTTCATTGCGGCACTATTTACAATAGCCAGGACATGGAAGCAACCTAAGTGTCCATCAACAGATGAGTGGATAAAGAAGATGTGGCACATAAATACAATGGAATATTACTCAACCATAAAAAGAAACAAAACTGAGTTATTTGTAGTGAGGTGGATGGACCTAGAGTCTGTCATACAGAGTGAAGTAAGTCAGAAAGAGAAAAACAAATAACATATGCTAATACACATATATGGAACCTAAAAAAAAAAAATGGTTCTGATGAACCTAGGGGCAGGACAAGAGTAAAGACGCAGACATAGAGAATGGACTTGAGGACACGGGGAGGAGGAAGGGGAAGCTGGGACGAAGTGAGAGAGTGGCATGGACATATATACACTACCAAATGTAAAACAGATAGCTAGGGGCTTCCCTGGTGGCGCAGTGGTTGAGAGTCCGCCTGCCGATGCAGGGGACACGGGTTCGTGCCCCGGTCCAGGAAGATCCCACGTGCCGCAGAGCAGCTGGGCCTGGGAGCCATGGCCGCTGAGCCTGCGCATCCGGAGCCTGTGCTCCGCAACAGGAGAGGCCACAGCAGTGAGAGGCCCGCGTACCGCAAAAAAAAGAAAAAAAAAACAAAAAACAGATAGCTAGTAGGACGCAGCCTCAAAGCACAGGGAGATCAGCTCGGTGCTTTGTGACCACCTAGAAGGGTGGGATGGGGAGGGTGGGAGGGAGGGGATATGGGGATATATGTACATGTATTGCTGATTCACTTTGTTATAAAGCAGAAACTAACACACCATTGTAAAGCAATTATACTCCAATAAAGATGTAAAAAATAAATAAATAGAAAATAAAAGAGTGAAATTTTGCCATTTGCAGCAACAAGGATGCTTGGAGGGCATTATGCTAAGTCAGACAGAGAAAGACAAATACCATATGATATCACTTATATGTGGAATCTAAAAAATACAAGAAACTAGTGAATAAAACAAAAAAGAAGCAGACTCAGAGAACAAACTACTGGTTACCAGTGGGGAGAGGGATAGGGAGAGGGGCAATATAGAAGTAAGGGATTTTAAAAAAGGGTTATTGTGGGATTATATGAAATCATGTGTGTGAAGCTTTTGAAAGTTGTAAAGCACTATAGAATTTAAAGAATCTTTCATTCAATTAAAAAAGTTTTTAAAAAATAAAAATGGTTAAGATGGCAAATTTTATGTTATGTGTACTTTACCACCAAAAAAAAGTTTTTTAATGACAAGCAGTGTGCAGACAGCAGTGGTGACTCTGTAACTACATCAAAAACATCCAGCCAGGGCAGCACTTCAGGGATAAAGTGTTTTTCAAAGGATGCAAAGGTGAACTTTTACAAAGGCATCAGCTCCGCAGTCACCCAGTGTGAACCACGAAGCCAGAAATCACAGTCAAGCTCAAACACCACAGTTTGAATTTTAGGTAATAAAATCGAACTGCTTTAAATTGGCAAATAATTCAAGCAACGACCTCATAAGTCCCCATGACCAGTATCAATTGGGGGCAAATAACAAAGAATGCTGGCTTACTATCAGTAAGGCACATTTCTTGTGACAAATTGGTACCAAAAATATATCCAGTGCTCCTGAAAACGTCTTCTACAACGTAATGTGATATGAAAAAACAACATTTCTTAATGTGCACTAATAAAGCCCCATGCTGAATAGAATGCTATCATGAGGCTACCTGTATTGTATTTTCTGAAAGTTTGGGTTTGCCTGGCCACACTGCGCGGCTTGTGGGATCTTCGTTCCCTGACCAGGGATCAAACCCAGGGCCATGGCAGTGAAAGCGTGGAGTCCTAACCACTGGACCACCAGGGATTTTCCTGGATTTTTTTTTTTTAATGAAAATCAATTTTGAAATACTTTCTGGAAAAAAAGGGGAAATTGGATCCAGGAATCAAAGCCTACTGCATAAAGGAAATGAATAACCATCATTGCCAATTATTATCTCTCTGCCATGATTAACGACATAGGAAAATCTGGATGACGCCACGAGGGAAATTTCAAACTAATACAATGAGGTTAACAAAGCACATGTCCGGAACTTCCCTGGTGGTCCAGTGGGTAAGACTCCACGCTCCCAATGCAGGGGGCCTGGGTTCGATCCCTGGTTGCGGAACTAGATCCCACATGCATGCCACAACTAAGAGTTTGCACGCCTTAACTTAAAAGTCCGTATGCCTCAACTAAAGATCCCACATGCCACAACTAAGACCAGCGCAGCCAAAATAAATAAATATGTTTTAAAAATATACTTATAGGGCTTCCCTGGTGGCGCAGTGGTTGAGAGTCCGCCTGCCGATGCAGGGGACACGGATTCGTGCCCCGGTCCAGGAAGATCCCACATGCCGCGGAGCGGCTGGGCCCGTGAGCCATGGCCGCTGAGCCTGCGCGTCCGGAGCCTGTGCTCCACAACGGGAGAGGCCACAACAGTGAGAGGCCCGCGTACCGCAAAAACAAAACAAAACAAAAATATACTTATAAAAACAAAAAAAACCAAAACACATGTCCATGAAGGTGGCACATGGGCTGTGGTCCCCTGTGAGGTTAGGAACACCTGTGTATGGAGGTTCCTACCTCTTGGTTATCTGGCTGGGCTCCTGCAGACCTGGGTCCAGGTCAAAGCCCTCATTATCCAGCAGCCTTCGGAGTGTCACGTCAGCCAGCTGCTCCATGATCTTGAACACCTCATCTAGGTTCAGAAACATGGAGAAGTCCCGCTCCTTATTCTGTGTGGTGATGCGGATGGTATCTGTCAGAAAGACGTTGGATGTCCTCTCCAACTTCTGGATGTCAACCCAAGGGACTACAAGTTTAACTAGAAAAGAAAAAAGGGCAAATACAGATTTTACCCTCAAATGTAACCCAAACTTGAATGCACCAGCAACAGTGCAAAGCTTTTCCTGCAGCTGAAATGCAAATAGCTTTCAAACCAGAGCAGGAAAGAGGAAACACAGGAACTGCTTCACAGCTGTTCGTTAGAACCCAACCCATGTTCTAACAATTATCTTAAAGATTTAAGTAAAACTTCCCAAGTTGCTGGCTGCCGCACACATACAAGGGACATCATTCTGCCATACCAAGTTAACAATGTGAAAACTTTCCCCAAAATAGTTAAACTTCAATATTTGCAAACTACGCAGATGTTTCTTGATCCACATAAATTCTGGTTTCAGTAGCAGCATTCATGGCATAAGCTATGAAAAACAGAGGTCAAGAGAGGGTTCATGATCTGGTTTAGAGGCACAGGCCTAACATTTAGATTATGTCAAGTGACAGCTGCTCAAATCTTCGAAAACAGAGCACAAGTAGCTTTTACTGAAGTACTATGGTTACTAACTGCACAGTTTATAAAGGGGCGTTCTGTTCTCGGAAGTGCTTCCAGCGCAGTGGTAATTAGGCTAGCGGGCTGATGCAGAGCAAGTGGGGAGGGACGTACGTAACAAGTCAAAATGATAAATGTTATCAAATACTAGGAATCGGGCTTCCCCGGTGGCGCGGTGGTTGAGAGTCCACCTGCCGATGCAGGGGACACGGGTTCGTGCCCCGGTCCGGGAAGATCCCACATGCCGCGGAGCGGCTGGGCCCGTGAGCCGCGGTCGCTGAGCCTGCGCGTCCGGAGCCTGTGCTCTGCAATGGGAGAGGCCACAACAGTGAGAGGCCCGCGTACCGCAAAAAAAAAAAAATACTAGGAATCGTTTCTTCTTTCCAAGTTTTATCAACTTAACAAAATCCGGTTTAGTGACGGTGACTGATAAATATCAGAAAATAACTCATTTTCCTTTTCAAGTGAAAATGGGAATGATGAACTGTTTTTATTTCTATCATGTCTCTCCATTTATTTTGCAATAATGTTTTCAGTGCTTTAATCATTTAAAAGTCCACTTTTCTACATTAGGCATGAGAATAAGCTTCTTCAGCTACCTCTAGTTGCTTTTATATAGTTCTTTTCACACACACCGACACACTCCATCTATGCTATCAGCTTTCTCTCTTAAGCATCTACTTTGTGAAGAGCCCTGCACTTAAGAAGCGTGTTCAAATAGGAATAACAGACATGTAAACAAAGAAGCAACCAGGGACCTGACAGGACCCAAAACAGATGCAAATAGAGGACAAATTACAAGGGGACCAGGGAAGGCTCCCTGGAGGTGAAAAAATGTGAACTGAATTTTAAAGGATGAACGAGAGTTCCCAAATGGGCCTAAGAATGGGGAAGGCCGGGAGAGACAAGGTGTTCATTTTGAGAAGCATTTCAGAAAGCAGAAGAGCAAGGATGGCAAGAGTTAGGTAAGAGCACATCCCAAGGGTGAGGAAGGCTGTGCACACAGGGGGCATGTACTGGGGTGTCTGAGCCCAGGCTGGTGGCATAGGGAAAGACAAGGCGTGACCACGTGCAGGACGCTGGCCATAGCAGAGTGCAAGAGGAGCCCTGCACACTGGTTCCACGTGAAATATAAACAAACGCAGGAAGAAAAAAATATATACTTAAATATATAAATATAGATACAGCACATATACCACCCTGCGTGGGCCCTTGAAACGAAATTTGTTACGGGAACAAGTTTCAATGGTAATGACTTTGAATGTTTCAATATACAATTGACCCTGTGGCTTCCCTTTTTCAGCCTGGAATCCCATTGCCCAGAACGATGACAGTGGGTGGAAAAATGATTGAGAAGTGAATCCCTGCCTGGATCTCAGGGGGTCCCACGTGAGGAACCCCTTTCTAGGAACAACTGCTAGTCTCCCAGGAGCAGTCATGACCTTCAGGCCTAGGAATTCTCTAAATGGCCCCCCTGGATTCAGAAGCACAACCTGTCCCATTCCTTTAGAACTCCTGGGCCATCAGTTACAACACTGTTTTCAAAGTAATAGATAATATAGTAGCAAAAACCCTTCCGTACGGTTTTTGCATGAAGGGAGCTACACAGAAAGGATCCTTAAGGCAGGACAAGAAATGAACTCCCGCAAAACCAAACCTCCTTAGATTGGGACTGACATGTACACACTCCAATATATAAAATGGATAACTAATAAGGACCTACTGTAGAGCACAGGGAACTCTACTCAATACTCTGCAATGACCTCTATGGGAAAAGAATCTAAAAAGGAGGGGATATATGTATATGTATAACTGATTCACTTTGCTGTAGAGCAGAAACTAGCACAACATTGTAAATCAACTATACTCCAATAAAAATTTTAAAAAGAAAATCAAACCTGCTTCGTGGTCGTCGTGTATGTAATACAATATGATTGTCTGCAGAGGGCATTTGGAAATTAATCGTGTGTGACCTGTTATGTCTCAACCACTTATTTAAATCTTTTGTCGTCTAACTAGTCACGTAACGAGTGGTCTCGGGACCAGCGCTGAGCATCCCAGGGGCCAGGTCCACCTGGGAGGGACCCAATTGCCCCTCACTTACGCTCCTTGCCCAGGAAGAAGGAATAGAAGCAGAGGTGGTTGATGCTGAGATAGAGCCAGCCTTGACGGGGCACCCTGCCCTTCCAGCAGCAGCACGAGTAATAGGTGACCAGCTTCTCGGCCTCCGGGAAGTTGAACCTGGCCTCGAACTTCACCAGGGCCTCTCGGAACTTCTCAGGCTCCTCCTCCTGTTCGGCCAGCCTGCTGCTTGTCTCCTCGGCGATCAGAGCCTGACGCACAGAGAGAAGGGTCCCTGGGTCAGGAGAAGGGCAAGGACAACCGCGCATGCGCAGCCAGGGAGCCGGCCCCGCTCAGACAGACCCACAGGGTGGATGAGGACCCCGTGCACCCCCCAGAAACACATCCCCGTGGGGAGAAAGCAAGCTGGGGGGGAACCTCAGCACCAGTCTCTCTCTTGGCCGCTCTCCAGCCATCAGGCTTTGGAAATCTCTGACTCCCAAGCTCCAGTTCTCAAACATGTTACTATTTTATAATCTCTCCCTGCTCCTGCCTCCAGAGACACGAGTCAGAGAGAGTCAAGTGACTGTCCTGGGTGTGTGAACTCAATGCATCAACCCTGAAGAACCACCCAAGCTGGAGTTTAAAAGTTGGTCTTTTTACAGAAATGAACCCATCTACGAAACAGAAACAGAATCATGGACGTAGAGAACAGACTTGGGGATGGCAAGGGGGAGGAGGGTGGGAGAGGGATGGAGTGGGAGTTTGGGGTTAGCAGATGCAAACCATTACATATAGGATGGATAAACAACAAGGTCCTACTGTAGAGCACAGGGAACTATATGTTCAGTAGCCGTGATACACCATAATGGAAAAGAATATTTTTTAAAAATGTATACATAACTGAATCATTTTGCTGTACAGCAGAAATTAACACAACATTCTAAATCAACTATACTTCAATAAAAATAAGTATATAAATAAATAAGTATTGGTCTTTAAAAATAACAACTCACGAATGTCTTCCTCATTGGGTTCAAAAATTGGGTGTAAAGCCAATAATGCTTGCTTGTGTGACACCTGATACATTCCACCACCACTATATCACCTCTAGTCTTCTAAGGTAGAAAAGGGGCAGGGTGGCTGAGGTTCCTGAGGTTGTCAATACCTCCAAAGCACCTCGGTATACGGGGAGGCAAGATGGGAAAGAAGAATCTGAATCTACAATTGTTTTGTTGATGACAAACAATAGTGAGGATTCTCTCTAAATCTGGGGCGAGGGGTAGACGTGCCTAGAATGTAAGCTGTGGCCTGATCCTAAGGGTGACAGCACACTGACAGTATCAGAATTCTGATTCCCATTCCTGAGAGCTCACTGTACATTTTTTTTTCACCCAGAATTTCTTCTGTTCAAGAACTCCCCGACCTCAGGCCTTACATATGCTACTCGATTTTTAAAACACACTGTAATTCTATCTTTTTATTTATTTTTATTAGCACCTTCCTTCCTTTCTATTCTTGTATGGGTGGTTTCACAAAAGGCTAATAAGATAAGGCCACTTTTGGGGGAACTGCTACCCAATCTGCATTGCACAAGCGGTTTTAGAAAATATCCTGGGCATTACCATTAAAATAAAAATGTAATTTAAAATTACTTTAAAAGTCAATCTGAAATTTCAAGTGATATGCATTTCCCTCACTATGTTTTTCTTTCTTTTCCAAATTTTATTTAACAAGACATTATAAAATATAAGTTATTTAAGAGAGGTATTTTTTTTAAAGCGTGTCTAATATATAATAAATGCTCTGCACCTTGAAACGTGAAGGGGATTTTTTCTTGTTAATTTTTACCTCATTTTTTCACTGCACCACACAGCATGTGGGATCTGAGTTCCCCAACCATGGATCTAACTCGCACCCCCTGCATTGGGAGCACGCAGTCTTAACCACTGGACCACCAGGGAAGTCCCTGAAGGGCATTTTTTAAGAAGCCTCTACAGCAAACAGTCACGGCTCCAGACAAGGGCGGCCACACAGACTGCTGGCTTCCTTGTCTGCTGGGTCTGGTTACAGCACAGCTCAAAGCAGAGGGATTCCTTTCCTGGTGGCGCAGTGGTTGAGAGTCCACCTGCCGATGCAGGGGACGCGGTTTCGTGCCCCGGTCCAGGAAGATCCCACATGCCACGGAGCGGCTGGGCCCGTGAGCCATGGCCGCTGAGCCTGTGCGTCCGGAGCCTGTGCTCCGCAAAGAGAGAGGCCACAACAGTGAGAGGCCCGCGTACCGCAAAACAAAAACAAAAACAAAAACCCTCCATAGAGCAGTCGATGGTCAGGTTTTGAGTAGGAAAGCCCCAATTCCCAGATCCTTCAAATCTGCCCAGGGCAAAGGGAGAACCAACACCACATGGTGGCCCCAAAGGCTCGACCAGCTTCCGACCAGCCAGACCCCTCAATCCCCGGCCCCTGCTCCAGGCCAGCAGCCTCCCTGGGAAATAAAAGGCATGTTCACTATGAAGTGTTAAGGGATCAGAATATGCCACCCCATAATATGCCACTCTGGCATAAGAATTATTTTGAGCTAAAGACACTTGACAAACAGCAGATGCCAAAAAAGCTCTCTGCCCTCCCCCACTATTTACCTAAAAACAGGACACAAATCCCCACTTCTAAAGGTGTCTCCCCATCCTGTGCCAGAAAGAGGAAAGCAGCTCTCAGACTCTGAATCACCAGAGACAACTCTGGACTCTGACCAACTCCAGAGGCACCAGCAGGAGCCTACAGGATGAACCCGACTGGAGCAGTCAGTCTCACTCCAGTACCCAGTGTCCGGCAGTTTGCTGCTCTAAAAGGCCGCACTCCTGTTCCTTTGACGCCTCACTTCTCTACAAATGCACTGCTCTTCGTTACGATGCTGCCCAAGCCCCAAGTCCTAAGCACCCCTTTGAGTTACTCATGACAGAGTTTCTCCTACCTGTCTGTGGGCCGCAGAGGCTGATAAACTCTGTTTTTCTCATTAATCTGTCTTCTGTCAGTTTAATTTCCAGGCCCCTGGCACAGAACCTAAGAGGGTAAAGGAAAAGTTTTTCCCTCCCCTACAGAAGCTTTCTAAAAGCCACTGCAGCAGAAATGCATTTCCTCGCTCCCAACTAAGAGGAGAAACACCTAAATCAAAGAACCGCCACAACCCATGCGAGACCAAGAAAAGGGGGTCAATGTGAAAAATAACTGTGAACCGGGTATTTCTGTTGCTAAGCCCCAGTGCAGCCTGACCCAAGGAACCAAGTTGGACCAGGCTGTGGTGGTAACACACAAGACGGACAAGACCCGCCAGGGCTTGCGCCCACCTGCTAATCCCCACCAGACAACACTGTCATTCCACCTGGACTCAGAAGACTGGTCTTCTACCTGATCCCACAAGTATACCCAATCCCCAAATGAAAAAGGTGCTCTTGTTTTGTCCTTTCAAATTCGAGAATTCACTCTAAGACCCTTTACTAAAAGCCAAAGCACATGGGGTGCTGGAAAGGCACACTTTTGGGAAGAAAAAACAACACTCTAGGATGTTTTACCCTAAGGGATGAAAACTGTATTACAGGCTCATGTGTTAAAGTGTTTAGTAAGACAGTTAAATTTAGAATGAGAAACCGTCTCTCCCTGCCTGAGAGGGGTTTTGTTTTTTGTTTCTTTTTGATAAAACATGACATTTCATTTTATTTTATTTTATTTTTTTAACATCTTTATTGGGGTATAATTGCTTTACAATGGTGTGTTAGTTTCTGGGCAGTCTGCCTGAAAAAGAATTCAGAATAATGATAGTAAGGATGATCCAAAATCTTGGAAATAGAATGGACAAAATGCAAGAAACATTTAACAAGGACCTAGAAGAAATAAAGATGAAACAAGCAACGATGAACAACACTGAGAGGGTTTTTAAAGCACCGGTTACCAATCATGCTTTTGCAGTGAGACCTGTTAACATAAGACATAGCTCACAGCAGGTATGTAGAGACCTCCCCAAATAGTCCTCTCTTTTCTCAAAACTTATTTGGTTTTAATTCTTCACTTAACATATTTTAAGAAAAAATATCCACTTTCAGAAGGAGGCAAGTGCTAGGTCCAACAAAATAAAAGACAGACAAGGTGTCACAGCTGCAAAAAAAGTTGGGAGTAACTAGCTTCAGGGGTCAAATAACATTGTTGCTGTGCAAAAACACGAATCTTAGCATTTTTTTTTTCCCCTGAGATAAAAAAGGACCTTCACTTCTGTAAAGGGTAACGAAACCTCAGGCCTGAGAATGAGGCTTTTGTTGGTTTTTTTTTTTTTTTTTTTTTTCGGGTGAATTTTGTCAGACTGACTCTGCAAAATTTGACTGATGGCAAGTCAAACTCATTTTGCTTTACGTATTAAGCCAAGAAGTTCAATTATCATGGAGAACACTGTTAAGGGAAAAGAATATGATTTAAAATGCTGTAGTGTCTAGAAGGTTGTAAGGACGTGATAAGAAAGATGGGGAAACGGGGAGAAACATCACAGTCCAGGGACCTACCTTCACCTTCCCTTTGACAAAACTGGCAATGTCATCTTTATTATCAAAGACGGACAAGGTGTGGAGGAGATTTTGCTCCAGCCAGTCCCAGTGCTGGTTTATTTCCTCTAACGTGGCACCTGGGTTAGAACAGAAAAAGACACAGAGATTAAGAGACAAAAGCAATTCTTAGAATATGAACTCACTTTCCAAATACGAGTCCTGCATTTATGTTATTAAAACATTCCGGCTTCTCACATCCCAGTTTGCTGGCTGACAAGGCAGGCACCCTCCACTGGGGCCCTGGTCCCAGTCACCGCAGCATTGGGGTTTGGGAACACCCATCCCTCTGCCACACGGATGGGCCAGCCAACCAGACGAGTCATCCCCGGGACCTCTCTGTGGGCGTCCTGCCAGTCTCACTAACGTGTGGAATTCTGACCACCTCCACTCAAGTGACAGAAACATCTATAATCATACAGCCATTCCAGGGGAAACAAGCCCCAGGGTGACCAATTCTGAACATTCTCACAGAATTTACCCCATAAGAATGAGGGTCCCTCAAAAGGGACCTCAGCCCAAGTTCACAGAGAGAAGACCTCTTGAGATGGCTCTGCCAGTGGCCCAAGGGCATTGCCACTAGGACATTTCCAGGTTTATCAATCTGTACTTCATATCTTTTATTAAAAATCCCTTAAAACAGATATAAAAAGAGGTTTTATTGTACATGTTAAAACAAAACCACAGAAACATTAGAATAGTACCTAGTAAGTTAATTTCTTTCAAAGGCAACTAAAAACACAATCAACCTATTAGTGAAGCATTAAGCAACATTGTTACTAAAAAGCTTAGACATCTTAGTTGTCATTATTTCCTCCTAGACCTCCCCACTGGACATGGGCACCTTGGCACGGGGACTGTGCCAGCTCCAAGTGGTGTGACAGAGGTTTGATCAAGTCCATGACTTGAAGCAAGCACGGTCCCGCACAAGAAGAGGCATGTGTACATCAGGTATGTCTAGTGTGGAAATAGGTGAATGCCCGGCTAGGAGGGCCGGGTTTCCCAAGTGGGAAGCCGAAGATACTCTAACCTCAAAGGGCTGGCAGACAAGCAACCGTGCAGAATAATCTAGCCAACGTGAGAGGCATAACGACCAACAGAGTCATGTACCACTTACAGAGAAGCCAGACATGCATTATGCTACCTCTGAGCTTTCTCTCTCTCTGTTACCTGCAGCATTGCTCTCCCCAGAGTGTGAATGTATGTGAGGACCTTATAAATACCCCCCACATAGAAATGCCAGAGAACTCACCTTGGACCTGTGGATTTGGGGTGAGTATGGAGAACATCCGTACTAGGACTATTGTTCTGATGGGCACTTTGGGAAGGAGTAAAAAGAAGAATCTAAGACAACTCTCATTTTTCCTCATAAGGAAAAATGAGAGTTTAAACCAATGGTATTTATTTCCCTGTATTCTCCCATTTTTAGGCATGGCATTGCCAAAGCAATGTCCTTTGGTCATCACTAGAGCAGACTTCTCGTCCTTCTGATAAGGGCACTAATCCCATCAGGGTGGCCCCACCCTCATTACCTCATCTGAACCTAATCACCTCCCAAAGGTCCCACCTCCAAATACCACCACATTGGGGGTGAGGGCTTCAACATTTGAATTTGGGGAGTTGAGGGGGACACCATTCAGTCCATAACAACCAGTGACCCTACCCAGCTCTCCATGAGTCCTACCTCCCGTCTTGCTCTTTTGGGATCATAAACCCAAGAGGCAACCCACTTGGGGTAAGTGGCCACGAACTCTATCTACTTCCCATCCACCTAGGAGGCCCCTGCAGTCTCAGGAAGCCCCTGGCCCTTCAGGCTCCCTACCCCTCTTATGGGAGGGAGAGATAATTTTGAAACAACAGCCTCACACCACAAGTTTCCAGGCTCCACAGCAGGGCTCTCTTGAAGTTTCCAAACAATGTCCCCCTGAACTGAGGACCCGCACCGTCTGCTCCTCACATTCAGCACTGATGTGGCTGAGGTGGGCATCTAATTTACCTGCCTCTGGCTTAATTCTCCTTGCACGTTCAGTGTCCTCGGGTGGCAGCTACATAAGTGTCAGTCACCAGGACACCCCCTAAATCTCGTTGGTCAGCAATGGTTTCTTTGCAGGGTGGGTGGAGGGACAGCACATCACACAATTCATCTCAGGAGAGAGTCTCTGGGCCACTGAAGCCAATAAATTTGCACAGGCTCCTTGGGGTGGGCAGCTCTCTGCTCTTCTCTGGCACTTTAAGGTTTCCTCTCTCTAGATCTTTTTTTTTTTTAATTTAACTTTTATTTTATATTGGAGTATAGTTGATTTACAATGTTGTGTTAGTTTCAGGTATACAGCAAAGGGATTCAGTTATACATATACATATATCCATTCTTTTTCAGATTCTTTTCTCACATAGGTTATACAGAGTATTTAGTAGAGTTCCCTGTGCTGTACAGTAGGTCCTTGTTGATTATCTATTTTATATATAGTAGTGTGTGTATGTTAATCCCAAACTCCTAATTTATCCCTCCCCCATCCATAGATCGTTATCCTTTATTATGCATCATAATAAAACCAACTGGTCAGAATTTTTTTTTAAAAAAAAGGGCAAGGAATACATGGAAATAAGAATATCTGTACTGGCCTTCCATCTTTTGCTATATGTTTTCATATACTTCCTAATTTACCAAAAAAAAAAAAAAAAAGACTTGGAGGACTGAGGAGGAACAGAGAGGGGACAGGACTTACTCTGTGACCTTTCTGTCCCAGGCGTGGTCTCACTGACATGAAATGAAGGCTGAGTGAGGAAGGGGGCCTCAGGTACATCTCCAAGGTCACTTGTATCGAGTAAAAGGCAAACCAGGGTGTGAGCTCATTCTCTATGACCTTGAAGTGCCCTGGGGTCCTCCCATAGAAGCTGCATTTTAATTTTCAAGTAACACTTACATAATCCAGTCCAGCAGTTCAGTCCAGTAGTTCCTAGGGCTTGACACTAAAAAAGCTACTTTGTGCTTGCACGCAGAGCACGCACTCTCCCCACCATCACATTTTCCTGAGGGCATCTTCCTGGCTGACATGAGACAGCTTTTCATTGATCCTGTTCCTAAGCTCATAGGGCCAACAGGTAGCTGTGAAACCACGTGTGTCTTCTCCACCTGCTAACTACAGATGCTGTGAATAAAATTCCAACCAAGCCCCACCACAGTGTATCATGTGGAATTAAGACCTGAGGTCACATCATCCAAAAACTTGACTTTTATCCTTTAAGAAATTCTTCTACCTCCTGGGCAGAAGCCTTAAAATAGGGGAAAACCATTCTAGAACAAAAGTAAGCTCACACCTTGAGAGAGAAAATCAACACACGAGTAAAATCGATCACTGAGCCGCAGTTAGGGGAGGTTGTAATGAAACCCGTCGCCCTGTCCTGAATCTGACACGGCTGTGTGCCTCTCCCAGCAAAGACAATCACCGTGATGGAACTTTCCCATTCGACTGTCTTCTACTTCCTACGAAAGTTGCCAAATGGCAGGGAAATTTTCCGAACTATAATTTCCTCTGCAGGGAAGTCTTATGATGGGCTTCAAAAATACCGTAAATCAGTGCAAGCCGACTGCACACCAACGACTCAAAAGACTAGAAAGGAAAGTCACGTAACATATATGACACATTGAAGCTCTGAATCCACATGGCAGCCATGTTTCTCAGCTACATGAAGCAGCCCACCAGAAAACAGCTGTTTTTTTAAAAAAATGAAATATTTAGAAAATACATGCCACTTTATAAGGGCAATGACTGACTCATGAAATATTTGTTAGAGTTATGCACACACTCATAAATATATTTCTGTCTGTGGGTCACGGTCAAAATGTTTGAAAGCCACATTACAGACATATAAGTGGTGAAAAATGTAAAGAGGAGAAAATAAGAAAGTGAGAATTTGTCATCCATTGAAGGGACGGAATGATAAAAAGGCTACACATTGACTCAACACTATAGCAATATTCCCACTGTTTCTGCTGTGGGCGTTCCAAAGCCAAGATGGAGGAGAAGTGTTATGGCCTGAGTTGGGTCCCCCCAAATTCATATGATGAAGCCCTAACCCCCAACGTGACCATATTTGAAGATTAGGGCCCCTAAGGAAGTAACTAAGGTTAAATTAGGTCATGGGGCAGGGATCATTATAAGGACTGGTGTCCCTGTAAGAAGAGGAAGAAACACCAGGGATGCATCATGTGAGGACCCAGCAAGAGGGCAGCCGTCTGCACACCAAGGAGAGAGGCCTCAGGAGAAACCAACCCTGTTGGCACCTTGATCTTAGACTTCCAGACTCCAGAACTGTGAGAAAATAAATTTCTGTTCTTTAAGCCATCTAGTCTGCTGTATTTTGTTAAGGCAGCCCTAGCAGGTTAATACAGCTTTCTAAAACCAAAATGTATAGGCTTACTGTGGATTGTAACAGAAGTCCGATTAGCAAAATTACATCGACACTTTGTTTCATTAAGGCCCCTAATTTTTGCTGAAAAAGACTTCTCTCTTTTCTAAGAAAATTCAAGTTCAGTGGATCTTACACATTACCCACACAAGAAGTCAACAATCAAATTTGTAAATGGCAATGCAAGACTAAAATACAGTATTAGAAACATCAGTTATGACCACAAGACAAACCACACTGCTGGATTTATAAATAACCAACTTGATGGTCTAAGAAAGGACTGCCAGAGGTGCAGGCACAGGACACTTTCTGAAGCCAGGCATCTTGTTAGGTATGTTGTACACTTAACCTTGTTCATCTTCATGAAAAGCATCACAAGATAGGTGTTGTTATTTCCATCTCCTAGGTGAGAAATCTAAAGCGCAGACAAGAGCCTACCTTGAGGCCTGTTCTTCTGGCTCTTTCTGTAACTCACGGTGGAGACTGGAGCCTGGGGAGTAGGGTGGGGCGGGGGGCAGCTCCCAACAGCTGAGTCACTTTGAAACTCACACACAGTATTTATTATCTTAGGTTTGCCCCAGAGGTATTTTCAGGAAATAAAACAAGCATCTCATTGTCTATACTTACAGCTTCTGCACGGAAAACAGTCGTACATAACTTGATCCCAGCT